AGAGGGATTGGGTGTAGAAACGACAGAGCAAGCCTTATTTCCCAGTTAAGGGAGGTAGATAGACAGTAAAATTAAGGCCAGCTTAAGCAATACAAACCAGGTGGAGCCTACTACTCGAACATTATTAGTAGAGAGCCCTTTCGAACGTGGCTACGAACTCAGGACAAGGCTGCAACAATCACTTGCCACGTGAAGATAGACGTGAGAAGCAGTTAATCTCCTCTCCCCGAGTCTAAGTGGACCTTCTCAAGATCTCATAAGAGTATCGCCTTCTTCGACAATCTCTAAGTCAAGGAATCAAGGATAAGTGCATTCATCTGACTCAACAGCCACACAGAATTGTTAAAAGTCCTCTGAATAGAGGTGAAACTTAAAAAAGACGCGTTTGAAAGCAATGTTACCAACATACTTGAGATAATACGGATAATGTGTTAGGCAACATGGATGTAGATCAACACATCTGTACAAAACTAAACCCAACATCACACAATTGAAAGTAGATAATTAAGATTGGAACCATCTGTTTATGACAGGTGAAGATGGTTGTAGAGGTTTTGAGCCTTTCTGTCCCTCCGTCCCTTTCGTCTCTTTGACAAGTTGCTCCGTCTCCTCCATGTCTTCCTTGGCTGGCTGCAAATCATTCCTTATTTGTGCTTGATCAATCAGCCGATAGATCTCTTCTGAGGGTCGTTTTCCCCCTTTGAAGATATCTGGAAACTCAAACTCATGACCTGGTGCCTAGAAGAAATAAAATGACTGCCCTCAAAATTTTTAGTAATCTTTTTGCTTCGTAGTGGTAAAAGCGTAAACGAGGGGTCAAACGCGACAGCAAAATCATGTTAATCGTATTTTCCACAACAGTTGCATATGAATGACGCAGACGCACCAAATGGACGTAGGCGACCTTCTCGTAGCGCTCTGATTCACGCGGAAGGAGATGTGGGAACATTGCTCCAGCTACACGTTTTGGATCCTCGACTGTGTCCAGCGGAGATACTGATAACAAACAATTTTTGATGGAACAATAAATGTGACCTATCAGTCTATCAAGTCTGTATGGGATGGGATAAATTAATGTGCGTTTTCGGGCTTCCAGTACTTCATATTGACCAATTTCGACAAAACAGATTAGAGTGCAGATCCGGCCCCAAGCAATAAACCTAACGGGAAAGTACAATGAAATAAGCATCGATGAACGAAAACTGCTCCCATTACTCCCCGACTACCATAAATAAGACTGCAAAAAACTGCACGTGAATTGCTCAGTTTTGGGTAAAATGGTTTTAGATAGCCATCATCGAATTTTGAAAACAAAAGACTTACAGTCATGGTAGAGCATTTTTAGCTGAACACCGATAACAGGAACCCTGTAAATCTTTTCCAAATACTGTTTTACATCGTATTTTGTCATTCTAAAAGAAAACAGAATGCCTTAATAATGTCCGCATTGAACATCAAATACGATGACAAAATAATTGGCATAGGTTACTAGCAAATTAAAATAGGCAAAACCTATTACGACTACTCACTGGGGATGAATCTTGAATACAACCAAACGTTTGGGACACTTTTCGCCGGGATAGAGCATTTTCATCCAAAATGGAGGAAGAAACATTCTCAATTGAGGATCGCCGGGTGTAAATTTTGGATACACAACGTGTCGCCGCCAAAGTGGCCTGCAGAATAAAGGACAACAAAAATGACCGATGCTTTAAACGATTTAAAAGAAGGCATTTGCAAATTTGGAGGAAAGTTAGCATACACATAGTGTTTCGTTCTTGGAATAGCTATCGGGTTGAAGTAGATAACCGGCCGCATATCCTAGATAAAGTAACAATGGAGAACAGAGTTTATAACGAAACTGGATCTTGTGAAATAGAGGAAATATGCGTTAACGTTACGGTAGCTAGAATTGTTAAACAAACAAATGTATTTGATCCACACCAAGTGGGTCTAAGGTGGTGATTGAACGAACAATTTCGATCTCATTAACTACAGCCTTCACAAGGAAATATTATAAAGCCTAAAATGAAGCCCACCAACACCCAAGCGCACTCATGGACTATAAAGTTTAAAGGATGAACAGTTATTACCATTGAGTAAAACCAAAGGTGTTGGCAAGCAAAGCGGTTTCGCCATTGGCACTTATTTCGCGTGGTTGTGAAGTGATTTACGTTTACTTCAGTTTAATTCATTAGTTGTCCATACTGTTTAGCTATTTGTTATTAAGATCTCGATTAGCCGTTACAACAAGGTTAAATCACAATCTTTGTTTCTATTTTTGTCAGATGAGTTGCAACAGAGCGAAGATGTAAGACGCAATGCAGAATCAAAGTGCCCTTTATTTTTGCAAAACTTCATTAAAGATGATGGCGGTATTATTTGACATTTATGAAATTGCAATAAAGGCATACCTTAGATGCAGTCACTATAGATAAATCATGTCCGTAAATTA